ATTAATACTTCGACACAAACAGGTTTCGATTTTCATGAAAAATCATCCTGATATTATGTTTACACGCGCGGATAAAGGCAATGTGACTGTTGCTGTTGATCGGACTTCTTATTTGGAAAAAATTAATGATATGCTTAGTGATGTTGCGACTCTTGATTTTATTTTTACTAACATTAACTCTAGAATTAAGAATTTTATCTCAAAAAAATTTAATAGATCTTTTAACTTTGACACCCGCCCTTCTGATAAAAAACTAATTGTTTTACCTTATATTAAAAATATATCTGAAAAGATAATAAATGTTTTTAAAAAGGACGATGTCATTATAGGATATAAATGTCTTAATAGACTTAATAAAATAATCAAAGTCCATAAGGATTTTACACCGTATGATGGCAATATGAATATTGTTTATAAAATAAACTGTATAAACTGTTGTGCGTCGTATGTCGGGCAGACGAAAAGACAACTCAAAACAAGGTTAAAAGAACATAAGAACAACATTACGAAAACTTCCTCACAACTCTCTGTAGTCTCTAAACATAGAATCGATTACAACCACTCTTTTAATTGGGATAACGCTTGTATTTTAGATCACAAATCAAATTTTTATAAAAGGTTAATCTCAGAGACCATACATATAAAGGAACAATCTCACGGTTTAAATTTAAATAATGACACGGATTTATTAGATGACGCATATTTTAATCTACTTGACAAAATTAAATCTTCTAAAATTCGAACGTAACGCCTTTATCATATGACTTTTCTAAGTGAGTGGGGATCCATGTGTATATAAACCGGTTGTCTTCCCGTTTTGTTCGATGAGCGACCGTAGATCTTTACCTGTGAGTAATTTGTGTTTTGTATATAATATTCGATATATCAGTGTATTCCAACTCAACATTTGTAGGCAGATCTATCACCTCATCTAGGACTCGAGGATGAAATTTTACACTCAAGAAGACTGCATTTCTAAAACACCTCCATCTACATTAACAGCATAGCGTATTTATTTTATTTTTATATTAAAAATAAAACACTGAAGATGACTCAAGTAAAGAGTTGAAACGTTTGTTGTACGAGTTACTAATGTAGTTAATTCTTTTTGATAATTATATATATTTTTTTCTAACACCCATTTCTGCTCGTTTATGACCTTACTTGGATTCATTACTTAACGTCAAAAAGTTTGAACTCTTTTGAAACGCTTATCAAACGCTATATATAATGTTTCCTAAACATTCTGCAATGCTAAGGTAACGCTTTTCACAAAACGCTCAATAAATACTGATAAATTTTCGTACAAAGAGTTTGCTGACAGACTTTTCAAACGGTTAGCAAATGCTTTTATG